AAATGTGGTGTCTAATTGCCGTCAGATTTTACCAGTATAGAGTTAAGCTCTGTATGTCGAACTGGGCATGTTACTGCCGCAGTCAATGTAAGTCTACAAGCCAGAACATTGGAAACCAGTGATGTCGTTACTAGTACTTTACAAGGTTAGTGGTAAATGTAACCCATTTGAAAACATTTATTTCGAAGCCAGATATATATTTTCGATAACTGGTTATTAGATAAAGCTTACAGTGTCATTTATGGATACAGGTGTGTCTAAACACTGATATAATATTGTTTCTGAATCAACGATGCTAAGGCCAAGCTGAGCATGATTAACGGTAGGGGCTCCAACACAGGGGACTCCTTCTCCCCACCAGACCAGGAGATCCGCATGGATTTCAAGCATGTTGATGACAGGTGGGTCGCTACTCTGCAGATAATGTTAACTAGTCATCCTCACTATCAAGCTGTAGTGGGCTACCAAGCAACTTTATAAACTTAAACTTCTGGGCCACGGTTAGTCTCTACCAGACTCCTTTGCAGGCTGAATAAATAGTAGAAATCGGCAAAGGGGGAATCATTGGCCAGAGGCAAACTGGACCCTCTATGGCCGGCCAACTCCTCTGGCCAATGATTTCCCCCTTAGCCGGTTTCTACTATTTATTCAGCCTGCAAAGGAGTCAGGTAGAGACTAGGCCACGGTAAGAGGGCTACCATGGCTACTGAAACAGCTACGTGTTCGTTACAGTTTACTCACGTTAGGTTTGTTCTATTGCCTGCATTGATGCATTTATCTTCGTGCGTATGCTTTTGATTTTTTTTAAATTTATGTAATGATATGGGCCTTGGTGACTGAAATAAAGAATGAATGAATAAATAAATAAAAAAATGAAGGAAAATTATAATAATTTCCCCATGGTCCAGATGTTTGATCCTGAAATAACACATAAAGATATGGTTATTTTTATAGCGATGATGAAGGCAGCGATGACGCTATTACCCCGATGTTCTACCCCATGGGTCTGGGGTCTGTATTGATGAACAGCTGCTTCGAGAGCAAAAATTCATCGGAAGATCCGTGCAGCGAAGCTGCGGTGCCCATAGCGCCATGCGCCGTACGTATTGACTGAACCTATCGCTGGTACAATGTTTTTGAGCTTGTAAAGGATGTATGTAAGGTTAGAAATTGCGGTCTTGCAGAGATTGCGATCAGAGTCTTTGTCGACGAAAAGATGGTAATCAGGATGATAGTAATAATGCGTTTCACAGTTATGTGCCATAGACCCTACGTTTTAAGTGAATACAATGATATCATGATTCAAATTGACATGAATAGAAGTTGAAAAGCAATCGAAAACTAAATACTGTCAGACAGGTATCAATATAAAGCATACGTTACCTCGCACCTTCGTATACAAATGTAAAACACGTATAGACGTAGCGCTGTTCAGGAACTGGCTTCCTCCTTCTAGAGTTGACATCTCCGACAGACACACTAGACAAAGACATCTACTGTCCACCCTCAGAACAAGAACAAAACGATTTCAGAACAGCCCGGTTGTTTATATGACCCACCTTTTAAACAAGCAGTAACAGTGATTGCAAACAGTACGTATGATCATAGAACGCTGAGACTTGTATATATCCGATTTGTATATATGATATAGGTTTCCTTCCCTTAATTACTTTTAATTTAGTAAAGCATGTACTTTTAAGTGTATTTTTAAATCTGCCATTGTTGTAAAACACGCACGCAATTCAACCTGTGGCTACAATGTGTTTTGACGAATAAACATTTCATTCATTCATCACGTAAAGGGAGCCATGTAGGGCTGTCATGATTATTGTGGGAACACATATACAGCATACATATGAACGAAATATTTATCGTTTTCTACTCTTCACACAGAATGTCATTGACGGAGCGACTTTCCTGGGTGTTGGGTTTGACGGACGTGGTGAATACTCCACCGACTCCAGGAAGAAGAGCCTCATCCAGCGAGCCTGTAATAGTCTACAGGGGTAGGTTTGTTCTTTCCTAAGAGAAAGAGCCATTGTGAGATTTTTAGTGGATAATACAGGACATGGTGGTGAGGTACTCTAGCTGTAGCTAATTTTAACCTCACCACCAGACATACAGGTATACAGAGACAAAATACATGACAAAAACAACAGGGAACAGCAAATGGCTGGAAATGACAACACGGTGAATATGGTATTGAATAATAATGAATGGTAAGGAAGAACCTGTTTTGTAGGCTATGTAGGAGTTAATCTAATACAAACCGTTTAGTATCAATAACGTAAGTTTGGGTGATGTTACAAAATGTTACCGTTGTATCATTGTAAGATTGCTTTTCTGATTCCTAAACGTTGTTTTTCTTTTTCTTGGCCCAAAGTTTCGACACTTCTCGTGGCTACGTTTCAACTCCATGTTCATAATATAATTTTGCTTATAAAAGACCTTTAATTCAAATTGCTTACTTTATAATGATTCCTACAACTTGCAACATCGACAATTGTACGCTGATAGCATGTTTTGCAACACAATGCTGTCTCATGTTTAACTAGAGGTCGGAGATCTCATGTCTTCGTCAGAGGTACATCGTTCTAGAGAAATTAACATGCGTATTCTTCAATCTTTTTAATAATCAATTTGGTCTAAAGAACAAAAGAATCTCTGTACTATTTTTATGGTACAGAACACCCTGAAACGGTTTGCCGCAGATTATACAGATACGTCGTCACCCGTGTTAGCCCCCCCCCCCTACGTTATTTGAGTTTGGACTGTTACTGGAAAAAAAAAACGTTCAAGAAATTCTTACTGTGTTGAAAGTGTCACGACAGCGCCGCAAAATATAATAAGAGGAGATGTTATAAAGGAAAGAATCAGAACAGGGTGACTACTGCTGTTTTGTTAATTTGTCTTTATGACAAATAGAAGACTTGTTTCTTGTGTTCTTTGTGTCCTAACATTTGTACTTCTACAGTTAGTATATTCCAAATCTAGGCATCTCGTTTTTCGGCCCTTCGTGTTTTTATTGCGCGCTTGCCTTAAATTTAAGGTAATTAGATTTAAGGTCTCCAGTGGACGTCATCCATAGCAATTACTTGGTGTGGCCGTAGAAAATAACCTGACATATGTCCAACCTATCCTCCCCCTGCTGAAGTTATTATAGTACAATCCCTCAATGTAACGTCATTTGATCCCATCCCATTATTATGGGGTTCCCCGCTATATCCAGCTGTCGGCTGTCTCCAAGCAGATGTAGGTGGGGGATTTCTAAACACAAAAGGTCCTATTACGGGGACATAACGACCTCCACGACTCTCATCTTTGAACTCAATCTTGGAGACCACGACAGTAATATGCCTATCAAATTTCATTAACTTCCATCCACACATACAAAAGTTATCCTGCTCACAAGAAAAATTAACAAAATGCCCCCTGTAGTCACAACGAAACCCCCCACGAAGCTCAGTAACGAACTTAACCTTGGTCCCAACAATAGTAAGCACCACACCAAGAATTATAATCAACATTTTACAAATACTTGAGTTATCTTGCTAACAAGCCACAAACACAAAAGGTGCACTAACGTAACGCACGGACCCCCCACGAAGCCAAAACTTGTACTTGACTTTGGCCTTAACAGCGGTAATCTGCCTGCCAAAAATCATGGACGTCGAATCATGCCTTCCAGAGTTATATCGCAAAATCCGCAGTTCCCCACACTCCGGCGAGACAATTTCATAGTCCTTCTGACGAAGACAACAACTACACGCCACATTTGATCTTCGGTAGCCTAGTAAGTTAACAGATACAAGTGTAAGTTTTAAAGAGGACAATAACTTCTGTTTAACGTTTTTTGTTTGTCTGTTACTTGCAGAGATAGAGATTTGTATTATACTGGTATTTTATATTTTATCCTAGATACAAGGAGTACCACGTGCCTGATCAGATGACCGTGCAAGGCATATACGACACCGACGTGGAGACCTACTCCTTCAGCTCCATGGAGGAGTACCGAGCTTACCTGGAGGACAAGTCTGCCGTGACGTCTGCTACCGCCATGTTCCAACAGGAGATGAACAAGGTTCAGGGACATCTAGCCATAAGCCCAATCTTCGGACTTGTGGGTTCAGTCGGAGCAGGGTTCAGCGTCCAATGGGGGAGCGACAGGGAGACTTCAGCTTTCGCAGCCCACTCAACTGCTGCTCAACAACTTGCTGAGCGTTCCACCCAAACGTTCGTAGCCATGCTGGAGCTTAACGTGTTCAGGTTGGTAGTTCCTCTTGCGTTAATTCTATCATAATCATAATGGACAGTGTTTGTTCTGTAACTGTTATTAACAATACACAGGTTAGCGATAAAATGCATGCACATAATTTTTTATTTCATTTTATTCACATGTATTTTTGAGCATTGAATAGGAAGCACTTGTTGTGCTTATGTGAATCCGCTGCTCATAAAACATAATACAAAAGTAAACATAAAGATGATACAAAGTATAACATAAACATACAATGAAAGTGACTGGCGCACCAATACCTATAGCATGCACATAATCTCCCAATTACAAATAAATTTCAACCTTACATAAGTACCTATGTCGAGGGTGTCATTTTACTAGGTATGAAATCTTCCTTGACTTCGTCATACCTGAAGACTTGAACCTGGGCCTCCTGAGGGATTTCGTGGCTCTGCCTTCGACCTACTTCGCCATAGGAGCAGAGAGGGAGTTCCGTAAGCGATGATACCAGATTGATCTGTAGTGGTTTGAATTTTCTTTTTTTTTTCAAATCTCTGTAGTATTCGGTTTCAAATCAACCACGCAAAGACGGGATTCAGATAAGATATACTTACTTAGTGTTTAAATCTTGATTCTGATATCTGTAATCGTACATGCATAGGTCTGAAGACTTATATAGATGAGGGCGGAAATTTGACTGCGAGAAGGGTCCTGTGAGCAATGCTGACTTGTGACATGCCATCTTTCCTTGTTTAGAGGACTTCATCCTACGCTGGGGAACACATTATACCACTTCTGCCAAGTTCGGTGGACAGTTAAAAGTCATTAAGGTTTTTGAAGCCTCCGATGAAGACCAACAAACCGCTTTCGCCCAGGCTTCCCAGGCTGACTTCAAACAGCTCTTCAGTACCTACTCGTCGTGGCAGACACAAATCAAGTCCAGCAGCTTTTGGCACGATCAGGAGCTCAAGTCTGATAGTGAGCGTTCTTCGGGCAGCGCAGTTGAGCACTCGACCGAACAGGAGTCTGCACAAGAACACGCGGCCAGGCGAGTTTTATTCCTGTTAAACTACTTCACAATTCCGGTTGTCTCATTCGGTCATTTATTTTTCAGCACGTAAAACGACCAATCTTTATGTATTTTTTTTTTGAGTGGGTGATTTACTACTACCCCTCTTTTTTCCCTGGGTAGTCTTGGATATGTAGTCAATTCAATGATATTTGAATAGCAGCTTTGACTTGCATTATTTAGCCGTTACTTACTTACTTACTTTGGCCCTTGGTCCCATGCGGAGCATATGCCACCGATGATTCTCCTCCATTCAGCTTGGTTCTGGGCTTTCCCCTCGACATCTTCCCAGCGCATTCCCAGTTTAGTCAGCTCCCGCTCAGTGCATTTCTTTTATTCGCCCGCGCGCACTAGTTTGGGGGTCTTCAGAGGATGTCATCCATAAAATTAAATCTGTGTGGCCTAATTAGATTAGCCTGATCCTTTTCATTCGAAACTTGCTTATCGTTGATCTCTGTCAACTAGTTTGAAACAAAAGATCAGAGATTAGACTTTGATATCTTATATTTAAAGAATTCTGTTAGTTTTTCCATCATTGGCATTGTGCCATATTTTCTAATATATCATTGAAAAGTATATTTTTGTACTTTTGCGTAATGAAGCAATCTTTGTCCTTCGAGTATTAGAGCAGCGAAGTTCTGCATTACAAGTTGTTATGATCACTGCTTTTTTTTTTACAGGAATTCTGTGGACTACAGCAACGAGATGATGATCGTGCAGGGAGGAAACCAGAGGATTGCAACCGCCATCACCGAGTTCTACACCACGTCTTTCGGATCCGAGCTCAGAGCGTGGCTGGACTCCATAGAGGACTACCCGAAAGCTTTTGAGTTCACTCTGGAGCTGATCACGGATCTCTTCGACATGAATTTTGACACGCTCTTCCCCCATGGTATTCGGGACTACGGCTGCTTCGGAAGGTTCGTTATAAGTACAAGTATGCATTGGGTTTATGTTTATGTTTATTGATAACAGTGACCATTTAACAGTTTGGTAAATTTCCCATCTACGACTCCCATTACGACGACAAGGTATGTAATGGAGCCAAATATAACATTGCATCAATCAATATTCATATAATGGAATGGGTGTGCTCCTCAAGAAGCATCGGATGATGTAAGGAAAGTACACAATACAAGGTATGCTCCGCGCCTTCTCATGATCATGTCTAGTTCTAATGTTGTATGTCCTGCAGTAAGGACCTTAGTGTGGACGACAAGGGTCGGAAGTACTACGTAGAAGACTCTGAGGACCCCAACACTTCACAGCATCACGCAAACATCCGTTACTGCAACTTTGACACGCAGGAAAAGTTCACGGAGAGCGTGACCAACCGCCGTTTGGCTCTGGAGCGTGCAATCGCCGTGTATCTGGTTGAGGTAGACCACATTCGTACCAACGATACACATTTATGAATGTAGTAGTAGTAGTTCTTTTTTTTTCTTTCTTCTCGTACCATTTTCCTTCCTTATGTCCTTATATTCTTTCATTCTTTCTGGTTTATTCTCATATGTGATCCCGGTTATACTATCTTTGTTTCTCCAACACACTGGACGTATTCCACTTCAATTTCCGTCATGCTTCATTTGTACAAGTTGTATATTTCCCTCTCCCTTTTTGTGTGTCCTAAATATATTGATATACGCAATACACTATACTATCAGATTCTTTTCCAGCATTTACCACGATGAACTTGAAAAGCAAATTTAAATACATATTGACTTGTGACAACCCATACATGCTCTACATAGGGATATATATTAAAGACATTAGAAACTCCTTCTAAGATTGTGTAAGCTGATACCTATCTCATACTAGCCACCCACTTTTGTATTGGTTAGGTTAGCCTTATGAAAATGTAGTTGATTTGTATTTACTTAAGTTAGTAGATGCCATACTCTGTACCCTGTAAAACTGTTGCACAATAAAGTTATGTTATGTTATGTTATGTTATGTTATGTTATGTTATGTTATGTTGTGTTATGTTATGTTATGTTATTTGTCCAGAGCAAGAAACTAGATGGTACATATACAAGAATGTTAAGAACAGTGTATGTAATAATGTTTCATGGAGACAACATCTAACAAACAAACAATTCTATGGCTCTCTCCCGCCCATTTCATCTGTAGTCCGACGACGTAGATTCGCCCTGGCAGGGCATGTTGTTAGTAGTAAGGGACCAGCTGGTGGACTAGTACAGTGGCTTCCTACTGGGAGACGTAGAGTGGGACGGCCTTATACAACACTTTTGTTCATATTAGAGAGAGACACTGGTCTCGCAGGGCCTGCATTAGTGTCCGCTATGAGAGATAGGACATACTGGAGTAACTTTATCAAGTGTACCTCACCGGATTAATATAAACTAATCCGGAGGCATGATGATGTTGATGATGATGATTTGTCTGTATAGGGTCGACTTATCAGTGCTGACTTCTCCCTCCCTGCCGGGGAGCCCGGGTGTGAAACCTCGGAACTGGCACTCCTTCATGACTCCAACGTCGGAGCCCCGAGCTGGCAGGACATGATCAGCGGAGGAGAGTTCAACGTCCTCTTCGACCTCCCTGTGGACATCCCCAACTTCCTGGTGGCCAGGTATACTAAGTATAAGTTTGAATTTTCCGTTACATGTTATGTAAGATTTAAATTTAAAATCCATTTATATATTCTGGAGTTATTGCTTCAATTTTTTTGTTTACGTTTGTACTTCAGTTAAACCTCTGTTAACTTATTTTTTTAACATACAATTTCTAATTAACGTTATTTACCAATTACTTTTGTTATTCATTGTTACTATTTGATTTGTAACCGTTATAATATTGATCGAATTTTTCAATTACTTATTGTTATTTATCATTACCATTTGATTTGTTACCATTATTACAGTTGTCAATTAATTTAGTCGGGGGAAGATCACGGACAAGCCATTATGGCTTCTTATCTTTCCCCTGCATATCCTATTTTACTGTAATATGTTCATTTTATTGTTCCTCTCTCTGATTATTAATAAACAAACAAACAAACAAACAAACAAACAAACAAACAAACAGGTCCTCAGTCCGTCTGAAGTACGCGAAGCACAGGTGGTTGACCATGAGAGACGGCTTCCACCCGCACACGTACGACGGACACAGAAATGGCAACAGTGGGGACGTCACAAGGAACAAGGTAGCATCATGTCCAGGAACTGGACAACTGATGTAATGATGTAATGATGATTGTTTATGTTCTTAGATTGTATGTGGTGTATGTATCCTAGCATGTTGAATATTAAAGAAAGACAGAGGCTTCACATTACTGAAATCTGAAAATATCTGAAATTAATGTCTCCTTAAGACTCTTTAAGTGAACATGATTAACATGAGTATTTATATGGGCTTTAATAGGGTATGAATTAACAAACCTTTATTGTACATGGAGATTTAAGCTTCATTCTACAACAATGTCAAGAAACTTCATCTGTGATATCTATGGCAGTCTAAAGACCTGTTGTGTCTAAGTGACTTAGACATAATTTTGAGTGTCTTTGTGATTGGTCCGTGTATTTTGGGGATATGGCTGTAAAAGTTTTTGTTAAAAGTAGTTGTGTATGTATATGTACTTGTAATTGTACTTGACTCCATGATTTGAATAAACAGTGGAAATAAAAAAATGAAAATAAAATAAAAATAAAAAAACAAAACAATGTAACATTATCTGTAGCGATCCTTATTCACATGTTAGCGAATGTAATTGCTGCAGAGAGCTCATACATGAGACACGTAACCACTGCACACATCGTGTATTCTTTAGCCAAAATTTTTATTGTTGGTTCGCTAGGGCTTCTTGGTTTTCGCTTTTGTTTTCTTTCAAAACCTTTCCAAACCAAGGCCCGGCCGGACTGTTTTGATTAACGAAAAATAAAAAAAAATTATAGCATGAATATACATAAAAATAGTTCCCATCATTTTTCAAACATTTTTTTGTGTGTGTGTTTTGTTGTCTTTTATATCATACCTTTTGTTCCATGAGACTGCCCGGACGGGCCCCGGTTTGGAAATGTGACCTCAGCATTACCCTGCGTGCCCACAGGTTAGTGTAGGAGGTCTGGTCATGACGTACGACGAGGATACAGGATTGTTCACCGTGACTCCAGAAGACTTCGAGGCGTCCGCACAGGCTATTCAGGACCTGCCTGACTGGATGAACGGCCTGCCTGTGGCCAGGGCAGAGCACAAATCGCTACTGCGGCACCTCAGTGATTCTGATGCGTATGTAACTCGTCACCTGCTGCCAATGACATATCAAGGATGATTGTTAACACATCCTTATCGTAGTAAAACGTTAAACTTTATTCCAACACACAATTTGCAGGGATCAAATTTTCAGCTACCACTGTCGCCTTCATCAGGATAATTGTGAAGTGATTGGTCATTATTTATCCTGATGAAGGCGACAGTGGTCGTTAAAAATTTGATCCCTGTAAATTGTGTGTTGGAATAAAGTTTTACGTTTTACTATGATTACTACCAACACAGATGAACTTTCATGTCATCCTTATCGTGTCTTGGTTAATCTGATTCATACACTGTTAATTGCCTTGGTTCGTCTGATTCCTACACCGACAATTGTAAATCGTAATATCTATGGCTGACACAACCTAGGATTTTATTTCTGCCAACACTTCAGGGAAAGAGTTCATCGGGACAGCTTCGACTGCTTGTCGCCAGATGGCGCTAACCCTGTTATACATTGTGAAGTCAAGTAGAATGGCACCCATTTTAGCATAATATGTTTACACACTGTAAACAAAATATGTTTACAGTTTGTCGACTGGAGATATACCGTGTAACCTGAGGTGGTCCAACGCCCACCGTATCGACCCGACCGACGGAGGAAAGTGCATCCACTTCACGGCGGCATCAGAGGGAGACATCTTCGTGGTGTTCGCCGGAATTCCTCGCGATCATGAGACCTGGCTGACCGTAGAGATCTCTCCAGACGGCGTCGCTATGTATAAAGTTAGTACAATCATGTATATAACACGTTAGTCCGCACTCACCATACATAGGCTAATATGTACACCATACATAGGCTTAATATACACAATGATTTTGCCTAATCGTTATATATATCGTTAAATAATATTCCTTTCAAGCACCAGGGGGCTCTGACCAAAGGGCAGTCCCCTCCGAAGCTCTGCTGCACTGCACAGAGTTAGATGTATGCCTTTTCACATGCTTAACATTGGGTAATCCAGCAGACGCTGTTTTACCACTTTTGCCCCTTTTTTACACTATTTATATCTAGTAAAGATTCCCCCTCCCTCAGCTATCAGGCAAGAATAGGACACGGAAAGGTAAGCAGGCCGAAACTCAGCACACACGGGTTATGCGGTTAAGGTAATAAAGACAACAAGACTGGCAATGAAAACATACATTGCCATGGCGACGGTGGTTGGTGTTAGGGTTTAACTTATTGTTTGCATGGCACTGCCATCATTTCATGACTTTGAGGAAGACTTGGTATCTGTTAAGTCTAGACAGACTTCCGAGAAGAGAGGGGGTCTTCCCAAGGTTTTCCAGGAATGTGGGCATAGTTGTGGGTCAGAGACATGCCTGTGGACATTGCATTCTTGTGGACAAAATGCCTGTACCATTCCTAGAATTCTTGCAAACTGCACACAATACTGTAACATTAGGCTCCTCCCTGAGACGTCGCCAAAAATTCCAAGTAATGATGTTTACATGAAGTCATTTCTTCCTCTACCCAGTCCCTGCGTCTGGTGACCAGCCAGCTCGAACGTGCGGCGAAGGGCCTGGGAACAGCCACTCTGTACCAGTCTTACTTCGTCTGCATCACTGAGGACATCACGGCAGGAACTACAACTGTGCAGTACGGCAAGATACAAGACAATGAGGTCAGAGACAGGAGAACAAAATGTATCATGATGGTCTAGCTTTTGTCTTCTGCTTCTTTTAGATTTGCCTCTCGATGTGCAACATCACAGTAGTGTATGTCGAAGCATATCTCGAATGATGATACAATTGTGCAACAGATTTCAAGAGTCTCGATGTTGGAGACAGATTTGAATATATCTTTACATGTAAACGCAAAGGTAGGTAGATGTATAAAGAAATGCTTTGTTGTTAGAAAAAATACCGAAACTTGTGATTAGCCCACTCTATTGTAACACTTTATCAAAGACTTGTGCTATCCCTTATTGTTTGAATAATTAAGATATGTTATTCAACACATTTATTTTATTGTTTGTTACTATCTTTATGTAGTTTGTCATACATTGTGCGATGTGCAATTGTCGTGCATTAAAGTTATCTCTATTGTTTTTGCAATGACCATGCCTACAGGAGCGGATTCGCATCTGGATGGATCACCAGTTCGACGAGGTCCTCTCTCTGTATTACTACGCGTTCGGGAGCGGCGCCCATGAGGTGAAGATCATGCGCGTGTCTCAGTCCGACGTGCCCGGAGATGACTTCATCATCTGCGGCACTGGAATGGAGAAATCCGAGGGGAGATGTGTGCCTAGGGTAGGTAGAACATTGAACAGCAAAATTCTTTCATTCACAACCACTTGTTAAACAAGAATTGAAGTTTCGATTATCATCCGTCATCTTTACCAGCGTAATTATTATCTGTTCTCAGCGAACGTATTTTATCACATTTTTATCATTCGTCATTCGAAGCGTTTGAAATGGCCCGGAATTAGAAGAAAGCTACGCATTTTTCCTCACAAATATCATAGTGCTATGGAATAGAAGAGATTTTAAAAACTTACTACAGCATACTTTTGAAAAATACCAGAAAACTGACTTAGAAAATCCAGTTTTACTACCCCGTACTTGCTTCGGTCTGGGTACCTTTGACAAGCTTGGGCACTGTGCCAATATTACACAATCTGGGTGGAGTTTAGATGTTCATCATTTGCGTTTCACTTTTCTTTTTCTACAGGCATAATGGGCCCCTCCACTTGGTGCGAAATGGATTGTTTGCTGACTTTTTGGACACTCATATTGTACACGTGTGACAGAATATTACCTTTAAAATCTAGACGACAGCTCAGTTTCTTTAGATAAAGAAGTAATGAAAAAGGTAATGTTCTCACCGGTATTTTGAAAGAACAGATCTATTTGTTCTAAATTGCTAACAGATAATCAAATGTCAAAAATTAGATATACAGACATTATAAAGATGAAATCATGCTAACTTGAACATGAGAACTGACCAAAGTTAACAATGTAGCTAGTGATATTTAGTAGCCAAGATTCACTTCCTCACTAGTTTGCGACATGGTACCTACATGTATTAGTCTTTAAAAAGAGCACCGTTTTCCTTCATGATAAAGAAACCATTATCTAATCATTATTATTCTTAAGATGCTAATATGTTACACCTAAGGATTATATTTATTCAAGATATGCCAATCCCATGTATACTAGAATGGTTTTAATGACCAAAACTGTCTACATTTATGACCAAATGAACTAGTCTAGGGCACAGCAATAAAAAATAACCATTTTCTTCGACTACATAAAAAAGCATCTTAGCGAAACACTTTTAAGATCAAATATAGCCAGCCTCCAACTACCCCACGAGGTAAGGTACATGTTTGCAGTTGGTGGATATATATATAAGGATCCCCAGCCATAGTCAAAATTGTGTTATTTTACGGTCACTTTATCAGTGGTAATGTAGCTTACAACTCGTTTATGCTTTTCGAGCTTTGTTAAGGATTGTCAAGGATAGATTATTATTTATCGATTACATAGTTGAAATAAAGCTGTCGTTCTAATTCATTATCGTGTTGTGCATTCTTCTTACCATGTGTAAATAAATTGCCCTTAAAATATCATTCTTCTGAATGTACTATATAATGCCAACAACGAGTTGATAATTAAAAGTAGACCAGGAAGCGGTAGCAAAAAAAAAGGTCTAGAACTAGCGGTACGCACTATAGTGTCTATGCTTGATCTGAATAAAAAACGAGCCCGGTTATGCGATGGGTTTCTTTACATTTATATTTTTTTAAAACATTGTTAAATCGAAAACACCAGCTGTTTTATTACCAGAGTAATGTTGTTAATATTATATTGTCTGACTATGGCCTGACCTCAACTCTCATGGCCTCAATGACACGTACGAGGGCACCAGGACGATCAGAGTATTTTATGGTTAGGCCACAGTAAGTGATTTTTATGGATGGCAGATAAATATAAAGAGAGAATACAAGGCTCTGATTTATTATTATTTTTCTTTCTCTGCTACTTTAATTGATGTAGTGAAGTATTCTATTCATTTTATATGTGATGGTGGCTGAATTGTATATCTAAAGTTCCTTCCCACTGAATCAAAACCATTTGTACAATGATTGAAAACTTGGAAAGTTACAGTAAACAGTAAACAGTCATGGATTCAATGGGCGTTGTTTGAAATTGGGCTTTCAAGTAATTGTGATGTACGTATCAGGCAGGCTCAATTCTTTGGGATAGGGGGTGCGTTTAAGTGTAAAGAAACTTGCCACCTGGGCAGCTTCAATATAAAAGGAAACATACAGTGGTGTAAAAAAAAATCACGTACCAGGAGTAGACACATTAGGTGCATTTAGTAAATTGTATTAAGAAATTGCCATCGACACTCCAATTTCTTGGTCTGATTGTACCTGCTAGATTTAAGAGAGAAAAATAATGTTTACTGATGAGCACAGCAACAGGCAATACAACAGGAAATGCATGTAATGATACTTGTAGGCGGAAATCAATGAATCTATTACGACCTAAAAAAATGCAACTATCAAACATTATCGAGAAATAAAATCTACCGTGCGGCTGTGGTGAACGTATCGCCATACCCCGTCACCAGTACCAACAGAAGACCCACATCTACCATCATGGCAGAAGACCTTGTCTCTGATGTGATACCAGAGGTCGCAGAAAACGTCCTCTTGGGAAACGGCGTGATGCCAACAGCCTTCCGACCAGGGACCGAAGAAGCAGGGAGAGCTGGATACACTGGAGATGACGAGGAAGAGGATAATATCAATGACATGAAAACTGATGCTACAGTGGAAAATGGCGATGTCGCTACTGGTGACACAGGGTTTAAAGCCTTTGTCGCCGCATACATGGGCAAGGATGACCTGGTGTTCATGAAGACAATTTCCAAAGGTATGCGAAGAAAACAGCGCTTACAGAAACCAAAGACATCTGCAGGGGGTCACATTCATACGCCCACAGCATCTCTAAACACTAAAAGAGATGTTAGTAACATACGCGGCATCAACCCTCTTCTGGTTGACATTCCTCCTGATCCTAGATGCTCTGAAAATGCCCGGAATCCCAATCCTATGTATAACCAGGATACCCAAAATCCGAATGCCTGCAACTCGAATCCAATGTATCCACAAAACGCCCAAACGAAAGCAAACCCAAAGTCTGCATTGAATCTAGAAAATCCCTGCATTCAGCCCGGTACAGCTGAACACCAGCAAGATGATCAGACCGTTTCAAGTCCAGAAATTGGTGAAGACGATCCCTCCATCCAGCCCTATGCTGTCAGGTACCAAGGAGAAGACGGTGTGGGATGTACACCGTATGCTGTAGCGTACATGTGTCGGGATAACTCGGACAGCTCCACAACAAGAACGTCCTCAAGCAGTTGTGAGGATACCGATGTCACATCAGCCTCTGCTGGAAATGTCCGTGACAGTAGACATCCTCCAGTAACGCCCCTGCAAAACACACTACACCAGAATCCTATGTACTCGCCAAACGCACAGAATGCGATGCCAAATGGTCAACAAGATGCAAGCCCCGGTGAGAGATGTGATCTTTGTGCTTTGCAATAGTCCATAATGTGTGTGTGAGGTTTGAAAGTCATTCTAAATCACAGAGGTACATGCATTTATTTTAACGGTTGAGCTCATTTTTGTTTCACTTAAATTTTTTTTAAATTGATATAATTTTTTAGTGTGCAGATCTCAGTGGATGCTGGCTGCAGTCATAACTGCTGTCGTCCTGACGCTTTTGATCATCAGTGGAATCTTCATAGGGCTATACTTAAACCCCAACGTGCAGGATAATCACAAGGCAAGTCAACTAAAATTCTGTTCATCCGAATTGCTGTAGTTTTTTTTCCCAGTAGGTTTCCCAAAGTGTTTATCTACATTTCAAACTCTCTACAGCCGACGCAATCTGTGGACACCCACAACTCACCTTGTCACCCTGCCTGCTGCAGTTCTGCGCTGACGAATGTGCCTGATCTCATGTCTAAACCCACGGTGTCCGTGAGTTGTTTTTTTGTCAATTTGCAATGCAGCTTTAAGTCGATTTTGGATAAAGTCACACAATATGCTATGCAGCATCATGGCAACTTCCACAGTTGGTTCTCAAATGCATACAGACTACACAACTGGTTTGCAAAGGTTTTAAATTTTAGTTCAGGTTGCGTGTGCTACATCCGATAGATGATGTTAGCTCTGGTTGCACGTTGATATTGTTTGTATTGTTGTTTGTTGACAGATAAGTGATGAGCCAATGGTATCATCTCACTCCGGCACCTGGACATCAGAAGATACCCCATTGACGTCGACCTCCATCAGCACACAACGTGTCACAACGGCATCCACCACCAAAACCTTGCGAGGTAACTATACTTACTCTGTATTATTCGTTTTCAAAAACCAAAAAGGGGTCACAAACTCTAGGGCAATAGCATGTGTCTTTAACGTTACTTCATGGTTGTAATAACGTGGATGTATCTGGCATACTTTGGGTGTGGTACTCCGTGATTTTTTTTTCATATGACATTCAAATGTTATAATATATTGTTTCAGGGTTCTCTGTCGGAAACGTCAAACCAAGCAAGACTGTGTTTGGAGGGTATGGGGAGAAACCGGGAAAACTTAGGTCAGCCAGTGGAGTGGCCGTGTCTGCCGACAATGAGATATTCGTCAGTGAAATCAGGAACAAGCGAGTCCAAGTCTTTAACATGGCGGGGGTCTCTCTCCGCCTCTTTCCAACCATCGTGCTGCGTGAAAAAGAGCAAATAATGGACCCTTATGACGTTGCCGTTGATAAAGAAAGACATATGTGGGTAGTGGGGAAATCTGTAGATTCTGCTGTTTATGTGATGCGGTACAGTCGTGTGGGCCAGCCAGTGAAGATGATTGATGTACAACAAGTTGCCCCCAAATTTTCCCCCAAAATAGCGGTAGATGTACAAAACAACAAAATCATTGTATTAGCTTTGAATGAAATCTTTATGTATCGATTTAACGGCTCGTATGATAGACGTTTTGGCAAGGAGGAAGACGTTAATTTGAAATACGTCACAAGTTTAAAGGGGAACATCTTCATCACTGACTCGTTAAATTCGAAAGTCCATGTGTATAACAACTCCGGGCATTCACTTTTCACATTCCCTACAGCCGGTAGTCCCAGAGGCATTTGTACGGACAGTAAGGGTCGAATTATCGTGGCCGACTTGATACACTGGCGGGTTGACATGTACACAGGCCGGGGGGAGTTTATCCGCACCATCGTTAACATTACAAACCCATGGGCTATTGCGTTGGGACCTAAGGGGGACTTAGTAGTAACGGATATATTCATCTCTACTGTAACAATATTCCATCAACAAATGCTACTTTTGTAGTATTTTTGAAATAGCGTACATCGTTGAGCTGCTGAGTGTTTTGACATATTTGAGACAATAAAAAGGTGCAATAGAAATGAGTAATAATTAAAGGTGTTAGTGGATAATTTTAGATTTTAAAATTTCAGCGTGAAAAATTGATTTCGAGGTGATTTATGTAGAAATGGCACAGATACATATGCCGTGGAACCAACTTCTGCCTTTAGAATTAAGCCTTCCTGTTGACAATGTTGAATGGGTAATTTGTATTCATTTACCAGTGGTTGTTGAAAATTTCAAGTCATATCTTCAATGTACATATTTACCTATTTCACGATTGAGTGTAAGCTACGAACGTGTAACGGGTCGTTTGACACTATTGACAATATTGACACTTGAGTTGTGGAAAATGCACCAATAATGTTACTGTTGTACAAAGCTTTAATGACGGACGAGTGGTAAACTTGGCATTCATGATAACTACATTGCGTGGGTGGATTGCGAATTTCAAACACTTCTTGTTGACTGTTGAATACTCACAATAAATCAACATGCACTGATTGCTTTTTTTTGCTCGGGTTTGTCTCATGGATGTACACGTGAATTTATTGTAATTTGTAGTGTCAATAAGTGTAATTCATGAAACAAACTGTACAACGGTAACATAAAAGGGAATAAATGTGGTATAAACAGACGTAAATCAGTAGTGCACACGAGGCGCTTGTATTTGACAACTTGTCATCAACACCCCCATTTCCTGGTTTGACTCTAACTGTCATGTTTAATTGAAAAAAAGTTTAATGATGAGCAGTAGATGCAATGACGTCCGTATGCCAGAATCAATGAATATATTACGTCCTAACAGTAGTGAAAAAAAAGCTAACGTTACCCATCCCCAGAACCTACAACACCAGAACCACCAGAAAACCCACATCTACCGTACCGGCATGGCAGAAGACCTTGTCTCCGATATACCAGAAGTTCTCGCCACGAACATCCTCGAAAGAGACGGTAAGCGACAAACAATCTTGCAAACTGAAATCAGCGTAAAAAGAATGGACAGTGATGGATACAGGGGAGATGACGAGGATAATGATGACGATGATGATGATGGTAGCGTTTATGATATGTCTATGAAACGTGATGCTGCAGTGGAAAATAGACATTCGCTTGATGTCGCTTCTGGTCATACCGGTGTAAAAGCATTTGTCGCCGCATACATGAGCAAGGATGACCTGGTGTTTATCAAGACAGTATCCAAAGACGTGCAAAGAAAACGCTTACGGAAAGCAAAGACAGCATCCCAAAACACTGAAAGTGATGTTAGTATCATACGCGGCCTCCACCACCTTCCGGTTGACATTCCTCCCGATCCTAAAAGCCCTAAAAACGCCCGGAATCTCAACCCTATGTATAACCAGGATACCCAAAATCCGAATGCCTGCAAATCGAATCCAATGTATCCACAAAACACTCAAACGAAAGCAAACCCGGAACCTGCTTTGAATCCATGCATTCCGTCTAATACAGCTGAACACCAGCAAGATGATCAAACCCTTTCAAGTCCAGAAGTGAGTGAAGACGATCCCCCCATCCAGCCCTATGCTGTCAGGTACCAAAGAGAAGACGGTGTGGGATGTACACCGTATGCTGTAGCGTACATGTGTCGGGATAACTCTGACAGTTCCACAACAAGAACGTCCTCAAGCAGTTGTGAGGATACCGACGTCAATTCAGCCTCTTGTGGAAACTTCCGTGATAGTAGACATCCTCCAGTGGCGCTCGGGCGGACGCCCGTTCAAGGTGCATTGCACCGGAATCCGATGTACTCGCCAAACGCACCGAATATGATGCCAAATGCTCAACAAGAACCTGGTGGTGAGAGATTACTACATTCTATTTAAAACATAAGTTTTGTCATCTTTATATGACATTAGTCAAAATTGTATATGTGAGTGTGTGTTTGTGTGTGTGTGTGTGTGTGTGTTTGTTTGTGTGTGTGTGTGTGTGTCTGATTATTGCGCTGTTAAATGTCTTTGTATATCAGAGATGTACACAGCGAATGTGTAAATAAATATATATAATATAGCAATTTTGTAAGCCACGGTGCCAGTTTTGACAAAAGCATTCGATAACATTTTGCAGACGTCATTTGTTTTAACACCGCTGGCTTTTTTTTCAAAACGATTTCAAAATTTTCATAATACAAGTAGATATAATTTTTCAGTGTGCAGATCTCGGTGGATGCTCGCTGCAGTCATCACTGTCGTCTTACTGACGTTTTTGATCATCAGTGGAATCTTCGTCGGGTTATATTTTCACCCGAACCTACAGGATACTAGTAATCAAAAGGAAATTGTACGTCTTATAGTAATATTCTTCTCTGTGTATTTTCACTAGCTATTTCACAAAATCCCATAGTTAACTACATCCCAAAAACATGTCTTTCGTCATATAACAAAGACGCCCTGTGAATTAATATTAACTAAATGTGCGTAGTATTATTTCGTAATAGTAATATTGCTTTTGTCATTTATTGTTATTGTCCATGTTGTCGAGAAGGGAATCATTTCCTGCACCGCCCACATACCCAAAGCTTGTTAATATATCTACAGGTCAGCCACCAAATACAATATTTCCACACCCGAAAGCATTGAAGTTTGCTATAATTATCTCGTGTGCTAGACCTAGATAACAAAGACAATCACGTCACCTCACCAGTCCCATATGAAAAAGACAATATCACTATAAAATTATTATCTAAAATATTTCAACAAAAGTTAAGACACTATTAATAATGAGGATAAGCTTAGACATAAAAATAAGCCAATTCCATTAATTAAACTGTGGTTTTGTACGATTTACGACATTCTACCCTCTACAGCCAACTCCATCCGTGGACACCCCCATCTCGACGGTTCATCCTGCCTGCTGCAGTTCTTGGGGGACGACAATACCTGATTTTATGTCCAAACCCACGGTGAGTTGGTTTTAAGTTAGTTTCCATCAACATGCAGCTACATTATATCAGAATATGTAACATTTTCACAGCAAGTGCAGGATAGTTGGCAGGTTGCATTGTTTTCTAAGAATTAGAGAATATGAAGGTTTAGGGTTCAAATCCCTAGCAGGTTCCAATGTTGGGTCCTCAAGGAAGACGCACCTATTTCTTTACTCATGTGAAAATGAGCGATATATTCTTACATGTGCTATGCACGTTTTCACAAAATGTTCTATTTTGGTTTTCTTACTTTTAACAAGGGTATGTCCTCGATACATATGTTTTTGCACTTATGCATTGCAAACTTGCAAGTTTATAGCCTTGTTCGTTGACAGGTGCGCAGTGTCAATACTGAACCGATAGCACCATCAAACTCGACTAGCTGGAGCACACAGCGCGTCACACTACCATCCGCCACGAACACCTTGCAAGGTAACTGTACTCAATATCAAAGTTAGTAGAAAGGGGAAAAGAATATGACGATATTTCCATATTTAAAAATAAAATATAATTTTACAACAATGACCTTATCATAAAATATTTGGACATATTGATTCTTATAGCAATAACCATTTATTTTTCTACTCAAAAAGCAAACTGTAAGGCAATAGTATGTGTATAATTATGTTGTTGTACATATGATTACGAGTTTCTAGAATCTTTCGTGTCGCTTTATTAATTTTTCGAATTGTGATTTGTACATGTTATGTTTTATTTTTAAATACTACTATTCATTGGGGCATAATAATACATATTAATGGTTTATTGTTTTAATTAAAACACAACAACACTGTCCCAAAAATGGCAGCCAGAGGCAGAATTGACACTGGGGCATCGCATTAATAGTATAAAACGTAATATTAAGCGATTACGATAGAAATAAACCATTACATTAAATGTGTATAAAATATTGTCAACGACGTTTCAAGTGCAAATTAATATCATAGCAGATAACAAAACAGAAACTGGTAACACTAAAATAAGTCTTAGGTTAAAAAAAGTGACAGTGTTACAAGCAGGCGGATCATGAAAGGAAGGGCACTATTCTGGTAACGATCAGTTCTGCTGCGAGGAGTGTTCAGTTTATACATTACAGCATTCTAATGTGACTCAAAAGAATCCAAGTCAACGTCTAGGAAATGACCTCTGTTGTTGCAGATTACTCTGTCGGAAACGTCAAACCAAAGAAGGCTGTGTTTGGTGGGTATGGGAAGGAACCTGGAAATTTCAACTCGCCGAGCGGAGTGGCCGTATCTACCGACAATGAGATATTCGTCAATGATATTTACAACAAACGGGTACAAGTCTTTAGCATGTCTGGGGTATTTCTCCGCCTCTTTCCAACCATCGTGCCGGGTAAAAAAGACCAAATAATTTACCCTCATGACGTTGCCGTTGACAAAGAGAGAAATGCGTGGGTAGTGGGGAAGTCTACAGATTCAATTAAAAGCGACGTTTTCGTGGTTCAGTACAGTCGAGATGGCCAGGCATTGACCAGGATTGATATTCATCGAGTTGCCATGTCCCCGAAAATAGCGGTGAACACACGAAATAACAAAATAATTGTGTTAGCTTCAAATGAAATCTTAATGTATCAATCCAACGGGTCATTTGACAGAAGTTTCCGCAAAGAGGGAAATGTAGATTTGAAATACGTCACAGCAGGAAGGGAGGGGAAAATCTTTATCACTGACTATTTAAAGTCAAAAGTCTACGTGTATAACGACTCGGGAGATTCCATTTTCACAATCACAGTTAGCAATCCCAAAGGCATTTGTACGGACAGAAAGGGTCAAATCTTCGTGGCAGACGCGGCCAACTCGCGGGTTGACATGTACACAAGCCGCGGGGAGTTTATCCGCACCGCGGTTAACATTAAGAACCCGTGGGGTATTGCTTTGGGACCTAAGGGGGATTTGGTAGTAACGGATGTATACAGCTCTACCGTAAGTATATTTCCTCACCAGATGCTTCTTCAGTAGGAGTATCATGGCGTACAGTATTGAGCTTGAAACCTAGCAATGCAACTGGCAGTTGAATACACTTTTTGACGATATCACTGTATGATAGCAGGCTTTGCGTTCAATAACAAGACAGGCAATTTAAAATACTCTTTTAAAAACTAATTAGGATTCATTTTCTTGGAGCAAGCTTAGAAAATTACAAGGTACCAGTAAGTTAACAAGAGAGCTAGTGGTCTACATGTACTTGTTGTGTGTTAGTCTTGTACAATTAAACAATGAGTTACTAAGATGTCAGGTACTAAGATGCCAGACCTCTATGAGAAAGCAGCAATAGGTAATAGCAGTGATATTTCAAACTCTGTTCTTACTAAGTTTCAGAAATAATGTACTGTAGCAAAAAGTTGTTTTCTTGCAGAGTTTTTTTGATTGCTAATTTGGAATTGCCTAACAGTGTGTGGGTTGATTTTTGACTGTTGAATATTCACAATAAAACAATATGTTTAGATCACTTTCTTGTCACGTTGCAAATTGGTCTCCTGGGTGTGCACGTGGCGCACGTCAATAATTTCCTTTCAAAATAATTAAGAAGGAAATTTCACTCTCAGTTAATAAAAATGATTTTAAATATTGTGTTAAGAAAAAAAAAACATTAATTAGTGATTACAGAAATGTCAAAGAAAAAACCAAACAAATCACCAAGACTGGGGGGCCCATCACGGTGTAAGAAGTAAGTTGGTTAACAGTACAGGTCTTACAGCTTCTACGCACGGTGCAGGATATCATAAATTTCTTTAAATTGCCATATTCTTATCTAAGTTGACGTTTCTTCACTATGTTCTTACTCATCTCCTTACTTCTGAAACTAGATTATATGGCTGATTTTACAGTTATAGTGATAAAAACGAAACGTCGTTCTCCTCAAAAGTTTTCATGATTTCTACTTTGGCATTGCCTGTGTGGGTTGATTTTTGACTGTTGAATATTCACAATAAAACAATATGCTTAGATCACTTTCTTGTCACGTTGCAAATTGGTCTCCTGGATGTGCACGTGGCGTACGTCAATAATTTTTTTAATTATTTTTTTCATTCCGAAACATGTAATCACAAGACGTGGTGACGACACACTCAAGTTTTATTCAACTTATATATCTTGTGGCGTTGTGTGGTGTGGTGGTACATCACTGGACTATGAAACGGGGAGACCCGGGTTCGATTCCGGGTCGTACCCGAACAAGTCCGAACATGCGCCCCGACGTTGTACCCTTGGGAAAGGTACTTTACACGACTTTCCTCACTTCACTCAGGTGTAAATGAGTACCTAGCTTCGGCTAGGGGCGTCCCTCGGATAGGACGTTAAATGGAGGTCCCGTGTTTGGGAGAGCCACACCCCACGCACGTTAAAGAACCCACCACACTTATCGAAAAGAGTAGGGGACCTTCCCGGTGTGAGTGGTTCAAACCTTACAGTCTGGTCTCGGGTTTGACATCTTTGAAAAGGTGATAGTCACCTGTTCTGTCAATCCTTCCAAAAATGTGGTAAATCGTCATAAAATAAAATAAATATTAATACCGACACCAACACAGGGACAGTACAATACTCATTTACACCTGAGCGAAGTGAGGAAAGTCGTGTAAAGTACCTTTCCCAAGGGCACAAGATCGGTGACATGTCAGAACCCGGGGCCTCTGGTTCCGAGTCGAGAACGCTGCCGCTGCGCCACACGACCCCACTGAATAATTTCCTTTCTAAATAATTGAGAAGGAAATTTCCCTTTCAGTTAAGACAAATGATTTGAAATATTGTGCTAAGAAGAAAAACACTAATAGGTGATTACAGAAATGTCAAAGCCAAAACCAAACAAATCACCAAGACTGGGGACCCATCACGGTGTAAGAAGAAAGTTGGTTAACAGTACAGGTCTTACAGCTTCCACGCACGGTGCAAGATATCATAAATTTCTTTAAATTGCCATATTCTTATCTGAGTTGACGTTTCTTCACTATGTTCTTACTCGTCTCCTTACTTCTGAAACTGATGACGAGATTATATGGCTGATTTTACAGTTATCGTGATAAAAACGAAACGTCGTTCTCCTCAAAAGTTTTTATTATTACCTCCATTTTTCATGGAGGTATTGTTTTTCGCGCGTCTGTGTGTGTGTGTATATGTGTGTGTGTGTGTGTGTGTGTTTCCGCACATTTGTAGTCAGCATAACTTCAGAACGCCTTTATGGATTGTGATATTTGGTATGTTGGTAGGTCTTAGGAAGCCAAAGGTCAAGGTCAAATATGCAGAACTTTCGGTTTGGTAAGGCAGGGAAAACAGATGCGGTTATGCAACAACACACCAGCGGTCAGTGCGCCAGTTTGATTAATGAGGTTCTCCCTCTGGAATAGGCTGACCTATATATTTCCGGCCAAAGGTGCTACCCTATTAGCTGTGTGTTTGAAAACAAAAGGCTGTGTTATTTTGTTCTGTACTGTAGTATACTGTGTAAAAACATTTACAAAAACTCATATATTTCACGGAGGTATGAGATCTCCGAATTCTTGTTTCTACTTTGGTATTGCCTGTGTGGGCTGATTGTTGACTGTGGAATATTCAGAATAAAAAAAAAGTATGCTCTGATTGCTTTCTTGTCACGTTGCAAGGTGGTCTCATGGATGTGCACGTGGGTGTACAAATGTACATGTTCGTCAATTATTTCCTGTCTCAATAATTGAGAAGGAAATGTTTTCCCTCATTTATGACAAATGATTGGAAATATTGTGCTATGAAACAAACATTTCATTTTCTTATAGTAATTACAAATATGTCAGTGTTTTGTATTGTAATCAATTAGGGGTTTGAATATCATGCCCGAACTAATGAGTCTGTTACGGCCGAGGAAAAGTTTGAACAGAAGAGGAAAATCTACCGTGTGGCTGGTGTGACCACATCCTCGCAACCCAAAATCATCAGCACCTAACAAACGAATCGCATCTACGATCATGGCCGAAGCACTCTACGATGTGATCTCAGAAGTCGCCACAGACATTCTCACATACCATGGAGATAGAGAGGAGAAGGAGGATAGTGTTGATGTTAGGTCTGTGAAAGGCGATGCTGCAGCGGTAAAGAAACGCTCACCGGTGGCACTCGGGCGGACCACCATGCAAAACACAGTGATCCGGAATCCGTCGTTCTCGCCAGACGCCCCGGATCCGGAGGACACCCAGGACGCACCGGATGCGATACCGAATGCTGACCAAGAAGGTGGCTCAAGTGAGAGATGTTTCCTTTTCAAAACATTCTTATCGTCAACTTTGTATGCATGTGTGCGTGTTTGTGTGTGTGTGTGTGTTTGTGTTAGTATGAAGGTTTGTGTGTGTTTCTGTGTGTGTGTGTGTTGCGAAATAGAACCCCTTGTTTAACACAGAGGTTTACAGTGATTATGTAACTTAATGCTGATCCTGTAAACCAAGTTCCCACTATTTTGACAAGGGCATTCATTATCATTTTCAGTTCATATTTCATCCATCTATAACTGCCTTAAGAAGCGACAAGAAGTTGAACCTTTAAAATAATAGATCACATTAGTATGTTAAGTGTTATTGCTGTATTCTTTTTCCCTGTTTATTCATGACCTGTACCTAGCTTGTTAGAGCACAAACGTACAACAAACTTTCAATCAAAATGAAATTAATGTTAACGCCATTGAGTTCGTTGTTAAAAATGTTAATAATAGATATAATGTTCCAGTGTGCAGATCTCGTTGGCTGGTTGCTGCAGTCATCACTGCCGTTGTTCTGACGCTTTTGATCATCAGTGGAATCTTCATCGGGTTATACTTTCACCCCAACGTGCAGAATAATCACAAGGTAAATATTTTGTGCATCTTCTACTTGCTTTTTTTTTCTCCAGCTATTTCAAATAGTTATAGGATGATGGACCTTAATCATATTAATGAGTCCCATTTATGAAACAACACCTTACGACAATATTATCTATCCTCTACAGCCGACACAATCCATGAACACCCCCAACTCGGCTGGTCAAAGTACCTGCAGCAGTTCTGGACTGACGACTGTGCCTGATCTCATGTCCAAACCCACGGTGAGTTGATTTTCTATCAAACTGGGTGTTAGCTGTGTTTTCTTTCGGCAGCCAGAAGCCCTTCGCCCGCCTGTCTAAAGTACCGATACGGGACCCGGGGAGTCGAGCCCGGGGGGAGTTTGGCCGGCCCTACACTAGACTCTATGTACGGCCGGCCAAACTCGATTCCCCGGGTCCCGTAGCGGTAATTTAGGCGGGCGAAGAGCTTATGGCTGCCGCAGGAAAAGGGCTAACGGCCCGATACTAGTGTGGCAACCAGGGTAATCAAACAGCAGCTACATTTAATATTTGTGCTCAAAAAAGCGAAAAAAGATAATGAGCCGCTTCCATACAGTCACCAACGTGACGGCGCTCATGGCGCTCTCATCGCGCTCTGACCAATTTCAGGTCGCAGAGAGAGCGTTGTGAGAGCGCCGTCTAAGTGGAATATTATACCTCAAACACTGGTAACGCGATTATATAGTAGCTGCTTTTACTATTATTCATTGCTAGTTTTACCATTTTTGGCAGGTTCGCACTGTCACTACTGGACCAACAGTGCCATTAGACCGTACCGGCTGGAGCTCAGAGGGTGCCACACTGACATCAACCTCCCACAGCACACCGCGCCTTACACTGCCGCCCACCACCATCAGCTTACAAGGTAACTATACTTAATATTGTACAAAGATTAAAGACAGTGACGCCGTCTCCATAGGCATATTTGGTTGTGATTTACTGAAATCTTCTGAGGAACATTTTTGAACAGTATTTCTAAGTTTGTTATAACTGGGTGTTATCTGTGTGTATAGTTCCATGCTACAGTCAAAAACCATAATTCATTAGGGATTATAAGAAAAGTAGTGCCAGAATTCGAAGGGCAGCAACCCAACCCCTCACAATTAAAGTCTAGGTATCAATGACTTGTTGTTGCAGAGTACTCTTCCGGAAACGTCAAACCAGAGAAGACTGTGTTTGGTGGGTATGGGAAGGAACCGGGAAAACTTAGGTCAGCCGCTGGAGTGGCCGTGTCTGCCGACAATGAGATATTCGTCAGTGAAATCAGGAACAAGCGAGTCCAAGTCTTTAACAAGAATGGGGTCTCTCTCCGCCTCTTTCCAACCATAATGCCGGGTAAAAAAGACAAAATAATGTACCCTCATGACGTTGACGTTGATAAAGATAGACATGCGTGGGTAGTGGGGAAATCAACCGATTCGAGTCTAAGCGACGTTTACGTGGTTCAGTACAGTCGCGATGGCCAGCCATTGAGTCAGATTGACATTCAGCGGCATGCCGTGTCCCCAAAAATCGCGATTGACGAACGAAACAACAAAATCATCGTCTTAGCTTTAGACAAAATCTCAATATATCAACCCAACGGCTCGTTTGACAGAAGTTTCGGCAAGGACAATGTCAATATGAAATACGTCACAACAGGAAGGGAGGGAAACATCTTTATTACTGACTATTTGTATTCAAAAGTCTACGTGTATAATAACTCGGGAGATTTGCTTTTCACCTTCCGTACATTCGGCAGTCCAAAAGGCATTTGTACGAACAGAAAGGGTCAAATCTTCGTGGCAGACGCGGCCAACTCGCGGGTTGACATGTACACAAGCCGCGGGGAGTTTATCCGCACCGCGGTTAACATTGCAAACCCATGGGCTATCGCCTTGGGACCTAAGGGGGATTTGGTGGTAACGAATGTATACATCTCTAAAGTGACAATCTTCCCTCCACAAATGCTGCTGCACGGAGCCTAGCACTGCATTACACAATATGGCGATTGCAACTAACATCACATGAAAAATTACACCACGTACTCCAAAAGATTTTAATTACGTAAAAATCATACACTTTCGGAAAACTTTAACCTCAAACACTGAAGCTCCACTGCAATACTCAAAACAGCCACTAGGAGGCTCATTATCAAACTTGACCTGCATCTTTCTTGTCCCTACGTAACCACTAAATAACAACCATCTGCGTTTTCTTAAGGCTTTTGAGGCCCACGCCAACTTTCATCTCGGATAGCGCCCGAACGGCTTGCGCTAGAACCGTCAAATTTAGTGACTTCCTAAAAAAATATTTGGCAACAATTTCATGTTAATTAGATAAGTTCCTGATTTTTCATGTTGCAATGGCAACGGGTTTCTGACAGGCATTTTTTTTAAATCTGTAATTTTGGCTCAAACATAAAATTTTTTCTAGGTTTTATGTTTTAATTAGGTTTAAATTAATTTTGTTACTACATCATTCTCTAAAGATTTGGTGGCCCTACGATAAATGGTCGTTGAGTTACAGGGGGCGGCCTCAAAAGCACCCCCCCCCCTTTCGGTCTGAGCATGCCCAAAAAAGCCCGGTCTTAATAGGTTAAAATCAGTCTTGTTGGGGTCAGTATATCAGCACACGATGTTCTATTGAAGTGATCATTTGTAATCATGTGTCAGAGGTTAACGTTGTTGATCATTATAAATTTAATGCAAATTATTATCTTTAATCAATGTGCACATTTATGTGTGTTAGCTGCAAACATGTAACGGCACTAGTGCTGTTTGAAGAAAATGTTGACAATATTATTCTATGATAACACGCTCCGTATCTCTGATCTTAGTGGATTAAAACAATAGTAATGGTTTATCCGGTATACAATGTAACTGGCCGAATTTTAGCCTTATAAGAAAGTTAGTGGTGTACCGTACACCTGAGTATTTTATAACTAGACAGGCCATTGAACGTGCTATTGTAACAACTAAAGATTAATTCTTAGAACACGTGGTGGACGTTACGTAACAGAATATTGACAAAAAATATGGTGTGCCAAGATAGTCGTCTACTCGTTGTTTGTTAGTCTGTGCATAGTCTTATCTTACAATGAAATAAGTAAGGAATGGCTATGATTTCAGAAGTCCATAAGATATCAGAAATATGTTTTAGAAGTAGCAGTTTAAGTGCTGTTTGAAAGTTACTGAAAGTTACTGTGGCAGATAGTTACCGTAACAGATGAAGTTACTGTCATTCAGACTTTTCATTAAGCCTTATTTGAAAGTAAGTGGTGTGCGTAGTATTGAAAGTGAGTAGTCATCTACTCGTTGTGTGTTAGTCAGTGAACAGTCTCTTCTCTTACAATGAAATAAGTAATATATGGGATGGCTATGATTTCAGAAGTTCATGAGATAGCAGCAAAATGTGATTGGAGTAGTAGTTTAAGTGTTGTTTGAAAGTTACTGAAAGTTACTGTGGCAGAAAGTTACCGTAAAAGATGAAGTTACTGTCATTCAGACTTTTTTCATTAGGCCGAATTTCAGCCTTATTTGAAAGTAAGTGGTGTAACGAACACCTGAGTATTCGGTAGTATAGTAGTAATTAAGTAGTTTAAGTGCTGTTTGAAAGTTACTGAAAGTTACCGTGGTAGAAAGTTACCGTAATAGATGAAGTTACTGTCATTCAGACTTTTCATTAGGCCGAATTTCAGCCTTATTTGAAAGTAAGTGGTGTACCGAACACCTAAGACTTATTCTATAACTAGACAGACCATTGAACGTGCTATTGTCACAACTGAAGATTAATTCTTAGAACACGCAGTGGACGTTACGTAACAGGAAATTAACAAAAAATATGGTGGTGCAAGATAGTCGTCTACTCAATGTGTGTTAGTCTGTTGTACAGTCTAATCTTGCAATGAAATATGGAATGGCTATGATTTAAGAACTCCATAAGATAGCAGAAATATGTGGTAAAAGTAGTAGTTTTTAAACTTAAAAGTGCTGTTTGAAAGTTATTGAAAGTTACTGTCAGTGACAGAAAGTTACTGTAACAGATGAAGTTACTGTCATTCATACTTTTCATTAGTGACGAATGGTTGCTTAGACATCATTATTCATGTTATTGATATTTTCTGCGTGGGTTGGTTGGTTGTCAATTTAAAATTCTGATTGTAAATTGCTGAATACTCACAATAAAGCAATATGCACTGATTGCTTTTTTGTCCAGTAGCCTCAAGTTGGAAACTTTAAAGATTGCATCATATTTCACAAAACATAAATTAAATATATATGTACTAATTTTATTCGTTAAAATATTGTTTTGCTTCTGCAAAATATGCGGGACACTATAATTCCGGGCAGATACTCTTATTGCAGACTACCTCTCACTTTTAAAGCATAGTTTGTCCTCTGAACATTTGACATTGCATATTCATGATATTGTGACATAGAGGATGACAACAACTATGTACATGTAGATAACAGTGATAATGCCCTAGGGATCAGATTATTTCTACAGATTTCTGCAGAAATCTCCACCCTATGCAGATATATGTTTCTGGAAACAAGTACCATACATTACAATCAATTACCATTTATGGTTCCAGTCTTTTGGTAGCATGGAAGCATCAAGCAGGTGTGCTACAAATAAAAAGGCAGGCATCCAGGCTAGATGAATTCCATATCCAAACAGGCTCCTACTGTCTAAGATTACTGGGCACAGACCACTATTTCCAGTCCATGTTGAAATTATGGAAAACATCTAAGAACTGAGCTGTCAAAAATCACCTACTTGAGTGTTCACTACTTGAGTAGTATCCACACATACCAAGAAAAAGGCTGCTTTCAGTTGGTTTGGATTGTGCTTGTTAACGGTGTCTCAGAATGGGCCTTCTGGGCAGCACGAAATAGTGACCTTTACTCTACTTCTAAAGAGGAACACAGGACACCTCCTTCTCCTTCCCCAGCCGAGGGGTGTCCGTGAAGAACACTTCCTTGTAAGGGACATGCTGCTCAAACAACAGGAGCTGTGGGAGGGGGACAGAAATATTAGCAATACACACATATAATATGTGAATCTATCATGATAGTTCATCTGTGTTGGTAGTTACATGTTTAAAGTTAAAACTTTTGGTCCAACACAAAAATTCTGGTCGAAAGCTCTAGGTGAGAGAATTTTTGTGTTGGACCAAAAGTTTTAACTTTAAACAATATGTGGATGTGATGTACCGACTGTGACAGGAGCTGGCATTGTTTTGACCCAATACATTTGACCCAGTGTTGACCTCACACTTCAGAGAAGCCACGTGACAAGCTTCACTGGGCCAGTCTACTGAGGAAGACCAGAGTGACTAGTTGAAAGCTCCAGCTAAAAACAATCCTTGTGCTGGAACAAACGTTTTAACTTTAGACAAGTCATATATACTATACTACCAAATTACTGACGAACTTTCTTTACAGTACATACATATGTATAGTTTACTCACAATATGAAAGTGGTCAATTTTGTATACTGTAAATGCTTTAGTGGTAAACGCTATACTGGATTACTGAATGTTGTATCATGAAAAAATCTTTTTGAAATCTATGTAATTTGATACTGCTTTGATATGGCTTTTCAAGCATATAGGTTTCTATAATGTTAGGGAGGTTTCCACAGTCAAGTCCTGAAGCAATTACATGTAAAGTTGCACACACGCCAGGTAGCAATGTTTTGGGATCCATACTACAACATTTAAAGATTCACATAATAATGCAGTAATAATGCAAACTTACCTGATTGTCTCCTTGCTTGAGGAATGGTGCAGGGACATATAGTGTCTCCTGAGGTCCGATGTGCCAGTACCTCCCCAGATTAAAACCATTCAAGATGGCCACACCCTTCCCCCATCCCTGCAAACAAGTGTATATACAGCTTTAACAGGCACTAATTAAAGCTTCAGTATTACATGTATGTGCAATAATGAAAAATAACTGTACATATACATTCAAAAGATTGTATCACTGTAACATAACACACATTTAAATTAATTTTGGATGATGTTTAATACTTACATACTTAAGTAGCATTTAACATATTTGTGCATAAGATCAAAATCCATGCATTTAGGGATGGCAGACTTCATCCCCTTTCCCTTAATGCTTTTAGACCATTATAAAAATGAACCATTTTTCTTATGTCTAATAAGAATTCCTGACAAGTTTCTGAAAAATTACAGAAAATTTTCTGAAAAAAATTTCTGAAAAAAAATTCTGAAAAAAATTCTGAAAAATTGCAAAACTAGCCTTTCTCACCTTCTTCATGTCCAGAAATGTGTCCTTGGGGTCTTCAGGGATGGAGAAGTTGATCAGATGGAATGATGGGAAGGGTATTTCTGCTGCATCAGTCAGTTCCTTCCAGTCTGGTGACTCCACTAACCTGAAAAAATACATAGCATGAAAGTTCATCTGTGTTGGTACAAGTCATTATGAAATAAAGACAGTCACTAAGCTTTAACTTCCAACACCAAGTACAAAGAATTGGGACTTACCCCAAATTTTCGGTTGACTCCATCAACCTTGTTAACATACATGACACATAGACTTTTTTTGCTGGAAGCAAAACTGGACTAAGTCTTGCAAATTTAGTCAATTTTTAACGTAGTATCAAATGAATCCTATCCCATAGCATACTGATATTTTTGCAGCAAAAATGTGCTGAGCCTGACGGAAATGTTTTGTATCATTACATGTATGGTTCTAGCTATCAACTTAATAAAACGCCTCATGTAGCTTGTCTCTGGACTATTCCAAACACTCCAACTCTTAAAAAATGTGCTAAAACATCAGACAGATTTCCTAATCCAGAATATTTTTTTTGTTTGTTTTGCTGCCCTGAAATTGCATTGGATACCATTAAATTCTATATGTTGATTTAATTGGAAAACCCCTATGTTCTGACACAAGTAATAATGTTCTAATGTTCCAGCAGTTTGTGGATGTGCAAGCAAAGCTGGCCATTGGTTTGAAGAACATTTTTATTGAACAGGCCTATCTGGTACATGTGCAGGCCTACATTTTGTACCTTGTTTGGAATTCTGGCTTGAGCTCCAGAGGGAAGATTTCCCAGGTCTCTAGTGGGTCAGTGTTCAGCAGTACCTCTCCTACAAGTCCTGTGTAAAACAAAAAGAATACATCACATGTATAAGCATAGAAAATGCAATGAATCAAACTGCAAAATGCTTGAATATAGAATGTGTCAATAGTCAGTAATTTGTTGTGACCAAAAACTTAGTACAATAATATTAAGTATAATAAAATTTTTTTTTATTATTATTTGATGTGTAACATACATGTAAGTCAAGAAAAATATCATATTTCATTGAGATCCATGCAAATGGACATGGGCACCAAACCCTATGCTCTGCATAGAGCACAGGAGACCTTTTTTTGAGATCCAGGTCTCAAAGGATACATTGAAACATTGCCATAAAGAAAGAAAATCCATTAAAAGCACTACATATATAGTATAATAGCTGCATGCAATAGGAAACAGCAAAACAAAAAACCCATATCTTTCTGAACAATATTTGAATCACTTCTTTTATTACCACAAGTTAAATATTCTTTACTGGCTTCTATAGAAGCAGAAAAATCGATGACAGAAAATGAGACTTTTGTGATCCTTTTTTTACTTTTATATGTCATTGAATACACAGAATTTTGTACCTTTCCTTTGGTCCAACAGTGCATCCCCCCTGTTCACTCCAGTCACACTCTCCAACAAAAACTTCTTGACTCCGTCCATGGTCTGGGCAAAGTTTACCCTGCCCTGGTTCTCTACTAGGATGTCCAGAATGTCGTTCTCCTGATTGAAATATAACAGAATCCTGCTTTAGAGAGTCAAGAGACTCTTTCTACACAACCAAGTCTTGTGACGTTTCGATGACCATCTGTCACCTTTCTCAGGGCAATTCTGACTGGTTCATAATCACAGGGTCACCAAAATGTCTGCTGAATACTTGGTTGTGTAGAAAGAATCTCTTTACTCAGTGACTTACCAACCTAATAAAACTATTCAATGCCTGTTTAAGAGAGTTTACAAAATATTATACACTCAGATTCTGGTCAAACGTTATGAAGTAAAGAATAAGTGCATTAATATTACGCGGTCAACCAAAAAACACAGATAGTCAGTTTTGTTCTAGTATTTATTGCCTTCCCACCACAAATACATGACACCATGAATATGCATTTTTTCTGCTACAGAGTTGTTTCAAATACAAACTTTCTTATAGTACAGTACTACAAAAGCATATTTCCATGGCTACTACAAAAAATAAGGAGGTTAAGGACTAGTAAGAGTGTGTTTATTTTGTATTGTTTTGTTTGATTTTTCTGTTATGTCATTCTGTATCATATGTGATATCGTAACATTGCATACTTTTGTTGTTAATCGTCCTTTGTATACCCAGCATTGCCTGAAAAACAGGTTGTTATGAGTATTACTGCTGGTGAAATAAATAAACTGAAACTGAAGACTTTACCTTGAACCCTGACAAAGTGATCTCTCCAACTCTCCAGTTCAGCATGCCTGACTCCTTACCATTCACAAATATCTGCAGGGGTAGAAAGACGAAAAACTATAATTTCATTTTTAAAACAAGTCATGCAGGTTTATCCAGACACAGGCCCATACTAGCTTTATAGCCAACCCTATGCCTTTGTTTTATAGCTTTGTCTTTGCTGTGTGCAAAACGTATGGCGATTTTGTACAATCTCAAGATATTCTTATATAATTAGCCAAGTAGGACATACTACTACTATTAGGTATTTTGTATGCATCTCATCTTAATGTGCAAACTTCACTTTGGGGTGATTGTAGGGGTTGAAAGCTTAACCTTCAAGAGAAAAACCCTGTCAACGTATGCACAATATGTTCAGCCATTTGCTGGCTTGCTATAGGAAGTTGACATTGACTATTATAAGATCAACTGGTTTAAATTGTGTCACTTGACACTGTAAGGATTTTGGACACTGAACAAGACTAAATTTTAAGAGAGGTAAAGGAAGTCATATACATGTACATCAGGGCCCATCACTCTTTATTGAACCGCAATGGGGGCTGACTTCATCTACCAGATACCTTTGGCCAGGTGTTGACGTCACACTTCAAAGAAGTCACGTGACAAGTCTCACTGGGTCAATCTACTGAGGAAGACCAGAGTTACTGGTCGAAAGTGCTAGGTAAGAGAACTTTTTTTGTGTTGGACAAAAAGTTTTAACTTTAAACATGGTTCAAATTGTATATTTTTATATTTCCTGGTTTATCAGAAAGCTGTAAGCTGTAAGCTGACCTGTGCTCTGTCCCTGACATCACACTTGAGAGTGACAGACTCTGTGGCCGGTGTGTGGGTAAGTTTGTGCCTGTACAGGATGTAGCCATACGACTGCCCGTTGTCATTGTTGATGGGGAGCATCTCCATGGACATCACCTTCTCACTCCTGATTGGCTATAGAACATGATTGGATTGGATTTGATCATCGCTGTCTCACTACTGATTGGCTATGGAACAAATGACATCATGTAACGTTACATGTATGTGATTTGATGTATTGAAATTGTATTATTTGTAACAATATTATTATAACAATATATGTGGAACAAATGCAGCTGATGCTGGTGTTATGTCCCACACATAGAAACAAATACAAGACAGACTAATATACATGTGCATGTACTTATTTTCACTTGAGTTATAAAATATAAGTGAAGAAAGTTGTGCCTTTCCCAAGGACACAAGATGGGTGGCATGTCATGACTCAAACCCGGGACCTCTTGATTCTGAGTCGAGCACTCAACCACACGACACCTCCATTTACATGATAAAAAAAATTGATATTGTCAATTTAGCTATATTTTTGGTTAAAAGAGTATGTTCAAATTCAGTACCTAGTGCAAAAAGTGGCTAGAGCAAATCTGTATGAGCTTGCATATGAGCTATGCAAGAATAGAAAATTACATGCATGATTGTAATCACTATAGGAGAGTACAGTTTATGTTAGAAATCTTTTTCTACAAAATTTTATTACATTCCGTTGTTGTATTATGTAATATTTGAGTGGACTCCAGGAAGACTAGTGATTGTAACAAACCAAACCAAACTAGAGCTGCATAACAATTTAATACACTTACCTCCCCCAGCACCTTTAAGGCATCTTCAAATGTGATGTATTTTTCAACAGGAAATGGACCTGAAATCATGGTATCAAAACAAAGTAGACTCAGAGGTGAATGAACAATTTACTATAATTATGTAATTATATAGTTTTGGAAGAGGAAAAAGATTCTTCTATGTTATTAGAGATGCCAGTTTATCTGATTCTACTAACCATAGCTAGGAACATCTCTCTTAAAACTAAACTGTGAATCTTCGAGTCACACGTAAAGTCCATCCTGTTGTATGGCTGTGAGACGTGGGGACTGACACAAGCAAACATCAAGAAACATCAGACGTTCATCAACGCGAGACTCCGCTACATACTCGGGATCTGGTGGCCTAGGAAGGTCAGTAACCAAGACCTTCTGGAGATTGCAGGCCAAAAACGAGTAATAGTGGAGATGACCATCAGAAGACGTAAATGGAGATGGATTGGTCATACACTAAGGAAACCCCCAGAATCCATCACTAGAACTGCCCTTGAATGGAACCCCAAGGGACAAGGAAGAGGGGAAGACCGCGGCTGTCCTGGAAGAGAGGTGTCAGGAAGGACCTAACAGCAGCCAACACCTCATGGCACGAGGTTAAGACGATCGCAAGAGACCTAGGGAGGTGGAGAGCGTTCACTGAAGCCCTGTGCTCTAGGATGGGCGAAGAGGATGAAGTCAAGTAAGTAAGTCACTAACCATAGCTGCTTTTCTCTGTAGCTGGTGGAACATCAGGCAACTCACTTGGAACTGTAAAGATTTTTTAAAAAGTTATCCACAATTTCCTTTAGTTAGGCCACACCAATTCAATTTCTTGGTTAACGGATTTGCCCGCTTCATTTTTTTCTGATTTTGCAAAAAAAATCAAAATTTAGAATCAACTGCAAAATGCTCATATTTTGCCCTGAATAGTTGAAAACAGTCCTTTTCTTTCTAGTTGTTACAGTTATTCCATCTTTCAATGCAGTGAAGTTAAAAGTTAAAAATTTAAAGTTCAAAATTCATTGTTTAAATTTTGAACCAGCCTGGTGTGTTGACTTCATGGCTCCTATCGTACCATTTTGGGTCATAAGAGGATGCTTAGGCCTGTTTTTATTTTTAATTTTTTTTCGCCCGCCCGCTCCATCATTTTTCTAGAAAAAAATCTGTTAACCAAGAAATTAAATTGGTGTGGCCTTATCTATATTATATAGTATAAAACAAAATAAAATACTTCCTATTTTGCCTTGAAAATTTGAGGAAAATGTCACAATTTCCTACAAAATAAAATATGCTACTAAACATGGATGAAAAGTGTAAGAAATTGCATCAAATCTCAACTATCCTACCTGCTCCCTCCATTGCCAGTGTCTGCAGGAGTTCCCTTGTTTTGTGGTACTTTGGGGTTGGATCTCCTGCTTCTGACAGTGGAGCATCATAGTCTGAAATAGAAATTTTTAAATACTGTATATTTCTTATATATATATATTCATTTTATTTTTTATTAAATTTGTTATAGAAGGAAAAAGGAGGTTTTTGAAAATTCTTTCAGTTTTAATGGTTTGCAGTGTAGAAATGACAGCAAAAATAAAATATTAATTTTTCAAGTTCAATTTATTTTTTTTTATTTATTCACATATATTTATTGAGTATGAGGCAAAAAGCAAAATTTGCTTATATGACACCTTCTACTCAAAACATACAATGAGTATAAAACACATAGACAAGATACAAGCATAATTACAAAGTGGATAAAACCAAGATAAACACAAACAAGACAAGTTCATGATTTATCAATTACGAGAATCTACCCGTACGGTAAATGAAGTTTTGGACTACATGAAAAACATTACAGTTTTGTAGGTGTGAGATTGATGTGGACCCTCGAAGTAGTTCAATTCCCAATAGGTAACAATAAAATGTAGTTTATAATTTTTTTGACATCACTAACCGTAACTGGTGACATCTGGTTTGTACCCGTTGATGTAGTTGGCTCCGTTCATGAATCCAAAGTTGGTGCCTCCGTGGAACATGTAGAAGTTGACAGAAGATCGTAGCCTCAGAATGTCTCCTAACAACTGCTCAAACTCTGAGGAATAAAACATGATGTTTACATAAAATGTATTTGCTGTCATATTTGTTAGTGATTAATGCTCAAAGTTATCACCACCTCTAGTAAGGGAGCCAGTGAAAAGATGCATAATATTAGACTGAATCAGCAACAACTTCATGTTAATGAATAAAAGAATATGAAAAAGTTTAGACTGAAAATAGATGCATTCCCAAATGTGCAAGTATACAATGTATGTGTAAATATGTACTAAATACATTGTATTTTACTTTTGGGAATGCATCTATAGCAGCAATACCTGTGCTGCAGTGCAATGTGAACCAGTCAGAATTGCCCTGAGGAAAGTTACGAGATTATGGCTTCCAAAACGTCCGCTGAATAAAAGACTTGGTCGTGTAAGACAGAGTCTTTTTACTCAGTGACATAATTATTATTGTTTGCATGAATTATAGTTAGACTTACTTTCCACATGTAGTTTGTGGTGGTCTCTGCCCCAGTGGTCAAACCAGCCTGACCAAAACTCCATCACCATCATGGGACGATTGGGCTGGACACACATGTAGAGGATTAAAGGCGCATGAGGATAATTTGAACCAGATTAAAAGACAACCATATACGTTGTAAGAGAGAGAAAGACAGAGAGACAGAAACAGAGAGAGAGAAAGAGAGAGAGAGAGACAGATAGACAGACTGAGAGACAGACAGAGAGACAGAAATTAGAGAGTGGTTTATTCAGCCTTTGCAGCACCAGTTTCTGTACACAAAGTTTAACAAATAGTATCAGGACTTAAGTAATATAAATCACAAAAAAGAATAAGAACAAATCCTGGAGAATCACTAATATCAGAACTTAAAATTCTATTCTTATTTATTTATTATTTATCATACATTTATTAACAAATTTACATTTACTATCATTCAGCAAGCAAACACAATAATGTAATGTACTGTTGAGCATGTCATTACGCTGTATCTGGCACTTCAGGAGAAACCAGTAAATTTTCTATCAGAGTGGAAGATATATATGTATGTGACCTGGTAGCATATTATATATGATATTATGTAAGTCAATGTCACATAATGAGAGGCTGTATATTAATTAGGTACATGTCAATATTAAACATTTCAAGAAATGCATTGTTACCTGGATCTTTTTGAGAGCACCCAGCTGTTTTTTGGGATTGAAGTTGAAGTTTGCTGTCATCAGCACTGTTTTGATAAAAGACAGAAAAAAGAAAATTTAGTTTTATAAACAACAAAAGGTAAAGGTAAGCAACGAAAACAACATCAAAGAGGAAATTCCTATTTGTCATATTCGTTACACTCAGGCCATACATTTGAATTTGTTGGTTCTCAGATGTTTCTAAAAATATTTGATATTATAATTATTATTTTTATATACTGGAAAAAACAAAGAAAATTGAAAATTGAAAACAAAGCACGAGCGCTAAGTTTATGCCTTGATGCACTTTAAATGGTGTGAGAATACATTAGTTGAATTACATGTGATTAAGTTTTTCTACATGTACCAGCCCTCTGCTTTTGTTATGTCTCCTGCTTCCTATATTTTTACCTTGAATATCTGAGAACCAAGTAATGAATGAATATATCTGGCCAAATACTGAACAATTACACCTGCAATCATTATGTTTACCGAAGGAAAACATATTGTTTTTGCTCCATTTCTTCTTCCTCTTCTTCTACTTCTGTTCCAAACACTAACCTCTGACCTGGCCAATGGCCTCTTTTGTTGACGTCTGTCACCATAGTAACTGGTGTAGGGTTACATACAATGTTGCAATTTCATAGTAGGCATTTAGGCTCCTGTCACCATATACATGTACATGTATGTGAATGTGTTTGAGTAAGCATTAACAGATCAGACCATATCCGAAGGTAAACATGATGCATTTGCTTTGCAAATGTTACTTTAAAATTTCTAGTTGTTATTGTATCTGGCCATGGATTATCATAAACACATTACATGTTTCACGGTCGCATTAAACAGTTATTACAGTAATGATTTGTACAATTAGTTCCTTTTCTCACTATTTTCTTGGAAGATTGACTGTCATTAAAAAAATTATTGCAGAAATGGTTAATATCACTAAATTAAAGAAGATATAATCAAGTCACCTTTCCTGAGCAGTTTGCTGTTAGATGATGTTTGCATTGTCAACCGTGACTTTTGTTGAAATGGAAAGAAGCAAAAATTAAAAGACTTTGCTTCCTGACAACTCATTTTAAGACAAGAAAGGGCCCAGAAAGCAATTAAGAAAATAAGGCCATACCAATTTAATTTGTTGGTTCTCAGATTTTTTCAGAAAAAATATGAAGCGAATGAGGGCGAAAAAATAAAAATAAAAACAGGTCTAGGCATCCTATTATAGCCTCAAATGCTACGATAGGAGCCACCAAGTCAACACAAAATACTCCATTAATATTTTAACAATGAATTTTGAACTTTTAATCAAACCACTACATTGATAGACAGAAAAACTGTAACAACTAGGAAGAAAAGGACTGTCCTCAACTGTTGGGGGCATAATATGAGCATATTTGAGTTGATTCAGAACAAGAATTTTTTTTCAAATCAGAAACACACGAAGAGGCGAATTCGAGAACCAAGAAATTAAATTGGTGTGGCCTAAACTGCAGATTTCTAGTGAGGCCACACCAAGTAAATTTTATGGATGACGTCCACGCGTGCATTGATTTTGGCCTGTTCCTAGAAAAAAAACCCCAAGAAATTCCGCTTCCTGTAACTATGACCAAAGTGTCACAACAGTGCCACAAATCGTCAGATTGACGTGAAACCCGTAACACGAAAACAGGACAGGACGACAACTGCTGTTCCACCTGATTTATTGCTGTTTTGATGATGAATAAAAGACTTCTTGCTTGTTACACTGTGTCACCTGATTCAATTTGTGTCCTAACATTTGTCGTCTCTTAGTATTTTTCTGATCTAGGCCTCTTGTTTTTTAGGGCCCTTCTTGTTGTTTTTTTTGCCCTCTCGCATTAGATTTAGGGTCTCCAAAGGACGTCATCCATAAAATTTACTTGGTGTGGCCTGATCTAAAAAGAGAGAAATCAAGCAGAAACCATCAGCCAAAATCGAATTCTTACCACCAGGGATGCGGCCTTTGTTGAAGCCCCAATCATTGTCAGAGGTGAACAGAAGTTCACAAATGCCTCTACTTTCCATAGCCTATGGGCAAACAGAATAAATGAGCTAGAAGCAGAATAATTTAGTGTTTGAGCCTTCACCAAGGTGCCACCATCACCAGTCAAGCTGAAAACTGCAAGAGTGTTTACATGTATGGGATGGTTAGTATACTTCTTATTGTAAGTAAATTTAGTTGTGTACATCTACATGTACATGCATGTTTGTGATTGATAAGTAGTTACAGAATTGCAGAATTTGGGCTTAAATTTGGGCTTACTTTGTTCTAAACAAAAAGTAGGTAACTGATGGACAACTTTACAGACTTGCTTGGACTAAGGGTTTTTATCTTGCTTTCAAAGTTTGTGAATAATTACTTATTATATTAGTTAATCAGAATGGATAATATTATCATTATGGAAGTAGCTTTTTCAATGAAATTTTAAGAGGATTTCATAAAAGCAATTGTAAAAAAGGATTGTAGTTATCATATATATTGACCTATAAAGTTTGTATTTTGTGTACCTATCATAGGCTGCCTTGGATACCAGCGCTATACGGTGGGTATCCAAGATTGATACATAAAATGAGACATAAAAGGTGAAAACATGCATGTACATGTACATGTACATAATACATAATATTATACATATGAGAGAGAATGGTAAGTTAGTAAAGTTGCTTATATTTCCTACCCCCTGGGATGCAACCCCTCTCCAATCTTCCAATGTCACCTCCATCAGAAGTCAGTAGTAGCTCCTCAATGCCTCTGTTTTGGATGGCCTATAACATTTCATAGATAAGCAAGGAAAGAACAGTGATCTGGAACTGTATTGTATTACATTTCTTAGCTATGTAGAGGGACTTGTGAACCTGGTGTCACCTCTCAGAAGATGAACTGACCTGGATTATAAACTATAAATTATACACTTTCCATAATTAAGTGTGGTTCTGTTTAGAACTATGTAAAGTGTTCAGTGCCAAGGACAGATCTGTTTACAGCTATGTGAAGTGTTCAATACCAAGGACGGATTTCTTTACAACTATGTGAAGCGTTCCAGTACCATGAACAAGTCTTTTTACAACTATGAGAAGTGTTCAGTACCAAGGACATGTCTGTTTATAGCTATGTAAAGTAATCAGTACCAAGAGCAGGTCTGTTTACAGCTACATGTATATGAAGTGTTCAGTACCAAGGACAGGTATTTTTCATATCTATGTGAGATTTCAGTACCAAGGAAAGGTCTAATTACAACTATGTGAAGAGTTCAGTAACAAGGACATGTCTGTTTACAACTATGTGAAGTGTTCAGTGCCAAGGACATGTCTGTTTACAACTATGTGAAGTGTTCAGTACCAAGGACAGGTCTGTTTACAGCTATATGAAGTGTTCAATACCAAGAACAGGTCTGTTTACAGCTATATGAAGTGTTGAGTGCCAATGACAGGTATTGTTCATAACTATGTGAGGTTTCAGTACCAAGGAAAGGTCTAATTACAACTATGTGAAGAGTTCAGTAACAAGGACAGGACTGTACACAACTATGTTAACTATGTTAAGTGTTCAGTAACAAGGACATGTCTATTTTTCGCTATGTGAAGTGCTCAGTACCAAGAACAGATCTGTTTACAACTATGTGAAGTGTTCAGTACCAGGGACAGGTCTGTTTACAATTATGTGAAGTGTTCAGCACCAAGGACATGTCTGTTTACAGCTATGTGAAGTGTTCAGTACCAAGGGCATGTCTGTTTATAGCTATGTAAAGTAATCAGTACCAGGTCTGTTTACAGCTACATGTATATGAAGTGTTCAGTACCAAGGACAGGTCTGTTTACAATTATGTGAAGTGTTCAGCACCAAGGACATGTCTGTTTACAACTATGTGAAGTGTTCAGTACCAAGGACAGGTCTGTTTATTATTATGTGAAAGGTTGAGTACCAAGGACAGGTCTGTACACAACTATTAAAGTGTTCAGTACCAAGGAAAGGTCTAATTACAACTATGTAAAGTGTTCAGTAACAAGGACAGGTCTGTACACGACTATTAAAGTGTTGAGTACCAAGGACAGGTCTAGTTATGACTATGTGAAGTGTTCAGTACCAAGGACAGGTCTGTATACAACTATGTAAAGTGTTCAGTACCAAGGACACCTCTGGTTACAACTATGTGAAGTGTTCAGTACCAAGGATATATCTGTATACAACTATGTGAAGTGTTGAGTACCAAGGACAGGTCTGGTTGCAACTGTGTTGCATGTTTAGTACCAAGGACAGGTCTCTATACAAGTACTTGTATGTGAAGTGTTCAGTACCAAGGACAGGTCTGGTTACAACTATATGTGAAGTGTTCGGTACCAAGAACGGGTTTGTTAACAATTACTCCAGAACTTGTCAAGTCTCTATTGATTCTGTCCTACCTGTTTGACAGCGGTCAGATATTTGTCGTCCCTAGCGTAGGAACCATACTCGTTTTCCACCTGCACAGCAATGATGGGTCCACCTTCTTTATACTGCAAAACGAAAACACCAGAAATACCATATAAATCTGACCTTTTACAGTGATCTATTTTGACATACAAATTTTAGTGTTTATCTTAAAGTGATCAACATGTATTATTGGGCCCCATACAAATCTGTCAATGCAAATAAAAATGCCAACAAACATCCCATTGTTATGATACATGTACCTGGAATGGTTTGATGATGGGTAGGAGGGCATCAAAGAACCTCTCCACTGCCTCCATGTAGGGTTGGTACGTGGTGCGAACCCGCATGTTTGGGTCTCTCAGTAACCAGCTGATGAGAACAATAGAAAAAACACAATGTAACAAAACAAAACACTTCAAATGTTATTGACTTATGACCATACTACAGTAATTATGTCCTTGGCTGTAGCATATCTTAAAACCCTTGTCCTGCGGAGCACAACAATTGCTGTTCTCCACATACAGTACCATCTATATACCACCCTGTATACTATAGGTACAATTTGGGGGCATGCAACGCATCACACCGCAGCAAAACGCAACGAATGTGG